AGTCGTGTTTACAGTGGCGGCGCAGCGGTGCTCTGTTGGCGCAGAGGACTGAAGTCATGGGTACGTTTCATTACCTGTCAGAAGTCCAGGCGCAGCGCTGCTCTGTGGGCGCAGATGAGTGAAAACATCACTGCATTTCATTATCTACTATCAGGAGTRCATGAGGTCTGGATGTTTTTGGCACTGTTCTGTGTGGGCCCCTTTGGATCAAAGATCTCTCTGTAGTGACCACCGCCTCCKGCGCAGGTACCTTTTCTTGATATGAGTAGTGGAGGGAGGCCCTCTCTCTCTCTCTCTCCGGCGCTGCTGGTTCAAGTGCTCGTGGGGACGAAGTCGCAGACGCTTGACGATTAYGATGATGGCGTTTATGGAGATGATGAKAATGATGGCAGTTATGAAGATGATGAGAATGATGGCAGTGATGACGATGATGGCGAGAGAAGGATGAAGATGATGCGAATGGAAGGAAGATGTTCATAATGTGGCGGCGCTGTTTCTTTGACATGGATGATGCAGGAGGTTGTCGATGATCGTCTGAAAAGGGTGATAACCACATGTCTGAATTGTGCACATTCTGTCTTGGTGTCTTGTTTGTATTTTCTTTTTCAGCGTTTTCGTGTTTAGGGGGTACATGCATCCATTCGTCGTGTACCGTTTGCCCATTGACCAGACGACAGTAAGGTGAAATTGTCAGATGAAGAGATGGAACAATGGCTCAGATGAGGAGAGGAATRATGCCCAGAAACGAGGGAACCGTGGTACCGGCCGGGAACGTGGCTGTCCCACTACCTTCAGGGCGTCTTCGTACGTGGCCCTCCCCGAGGGAAATGGAATCTGGGGGACCCACGTTCGTCCCACTACCTTCAGGGCGTCTTCGTACGTGGCCCTCCCCGAGGGAAATGGAATCTGGGGGACCCACGTTCGTTACGGGAGAAATCGACGTACTGGATATAGTTTGAGCCTTGGATCACCGCATCCCCCTGCCCATCGGACACCTGTTGTCCATCTCCGAACAGGCTAATGACCAGATTTTACAGCACTGCAAGGCAAACCGGAAGTGATTTTCCTTCGCCAAATTGGCAGCCGCAAAAGGAAAAGCTCTCGCTAGAGACCCTAAGCCGGAGGAGCCAAGCACCTCCGAACCCGTCCGGATGGGCCTAATTCGAAAAGACGATCACTTCCTACGGATCAAAGCCCTATCATGGAGATCCGCGGAGTGTAACGTGGAAGTCTGGGGAAACCCCTACAGTGCGGTCCTTGATTCTGGAGCCGTGGTCCTGGCCATCTCCCTGCGGGTGGTGAGGAGGGCCGGCCGGTGGAAAGACGTGACTCCTCTCGCGGAGGGCGATCACTTCGTTTCCGTCGACGAAGGTAAGATCCGAGTAGCAGGGAGGATGGCGAACGTCGCCTTTCGAATAGGTAAGGTTCACGCCTTGAGCGACGTAGTGGTCCTAAACGTGACCACGTACGGTGTCCTCGTCGGATTACCAGCCCTCACAGCCTTGCGGGCCACGCTGGATTTCGAACGACAAACAGTCATCCTCCACAACACTGGAGGAAAGTCGTACACCGTTCCGATGCGTCTCACCCTTCGAACGACTTCGATGACTGAGCGACAACGACGGAAACCCCGCGAAATCCTGCGAATGATAAGGTGGGAAGAATCCGCGGACGAATCCGACGTCGAACCCACACTATCATCATCCACCACCGAGAGTGAGGAAAATGTAGATCCTCAAGTTCTCGAGCTAGCATGACAAAGAGTTTTCTACCCACTTCGACAGAAAGCGGTGAAAACTTTCGTTTTCACAAGGGACATACAGCGAACCAGAGCACAGATAATGGGAGAACCGCTGGTTTAGATATCCCAGTTGACGGATTCTTGGGAACCCCCTCGAACCATAGACGAGGCAACCATCCCATTGTTATCCAGATATCGGGATAAGCGGTCCTTCTGCGATATCTGGAGGATTCCTCCCGGCTCGTTGCTCACCAGAGGAAAAGAAATCCAACTGCTACAGGGAGGCGCCAAAAATTGGACTCCGGAACCCCCTGGGCTGTACGACCTCGCCCCGTTCGATATTGGACTAAAAATCGAGGAGAAGATCATGGACCTCCACCCCGGAGGAACACGTGACAATCAAGGAAGAGGAAGCTCAGATGGTTGCCACGATCTTCTCCTGGCGTTCCGACCATTCCTTTATATCATCCCCACCCACGAAACAGACCCGTGCGGCCATGATAAAACAGCTACCGGTAGTGATACGAGACTGCCACTACGAACTGCATATGTCAGACTATGTGCCGGATGAGATACACAAACTCATTGCATACATTCTAGCCGAATATCAAGGGGCGATTAGTACAGAGGACACGGACATAGGACTATCCCTGGTCATATAGCACGAGATCCAGACTGGCACCCACCCGTCGATTCACTGTAAACCATACCGATACTCGTTAGTCGAAAGACGAACCGCTTTGGAGCGGATTAGAGAATTTGAGGCCAATGGTTGGATCGAGCCCGCTACCGGACCATGGTCGTTCCCCATGGTTTTAGTCCCTAAAAAGACTGGATCCATTCACATTTGCATCGATTATCGAAAACCGAATGATATCACGTTCAAAGATATGTATCCCCTCCTGCGGATTGATGATTTGTTGGATGCAATTGGGTGTGCTAACTACTTTAGCAAGTTCGACATTCGCCATGGGTTCCACCACATATTGGTGAAGGAAGAGGACCGTCCGAAAACGGCATTCGTACTGTTCGAAGACACGTGGCAATGGGTTCGATGCCCTATGGGCATCTACAATGCTCCGGCTACGTTTCAAAGAGAGATGAACATGACCTTCCAGAATTTTGTTAACAAGACTCGACTGACACAGGGAATGGAGAACTTTTGCGTTATCGTGTACATGGACGACATCCTGGTGTATTCGGAATCGTTTCACAGGCATGCGCAACATATCGAATGAACACTTGGAGCGCTGCAAGATGCGGGATTCAAAATTGCCCTGGAGAAGAGTGAGTTTTTCCTGTCGGAAATCTCGTTCCTGGGGTACGTGGTGACGCGAGGAGGCTTCCGGCCGAATTCGAGAAAAGTCGCGGCGGTTCAAGACACTCCGACCAGAGGTTAACATTGGATGGTCGTGACCCGACCCGACCGTACCCAGCCGTACCCGACAGTTCTGGACGGGTGCGGGTATGACATGATTAGTATGCACCGGGGCTGTTGGGTCTGGAAATCTGAGGGGTGAATATGGCTGGGCCAGGAAACTATAGGGTGGGTGGGGCTGGGTGTTGACATGGTGCCTGGACGGTTACGGTCGGGCAAAGGTTTGCCTTGGTTCCGGGTACGGTTGGGTAAAGGTTTCAAGCGGGTGACCCGAGCCCTGTAGGCATACTAGGCATATTTGTCAAGCCTAGGTAGTATTAGGGTCAGGCCTGACCCTTTTTCTTCACTGGGAAATAGTGGTACTGGTGGGGTGCGCCCCTAGTATAAATTTGTCTTTGGCCATCTGTTATTTGTCTTAGGGCCGAGGTAGTACTAGTGCCAAACTGTACTATTAATTTGGCCTCGCCCCAATCGTTTCGTCCTAGGGAATACAGCATTCATTAATAGGCTCTGGCCATAATTGCGGTCAAATTCATCGAAATTTGGCTGTAGTTGAGGCCAAATGTAGAGAATAAAGTATCAATGTGAGTATCCCCAGCCACTGGCCCATTGTCGGCGCTAAAATTTGAAGCGGAAATCTGTGGATGGAAGCTAAGGAATCCGACATGCAAGGCCTAAGTTTGAAATAAAGATAAAAGGGAAGACTAAGCGTGGGTGGAAAATTTTGGGCACAGATACGGCTGGGCACGGGTGGATGGATACTACGTTCGAGTGCGGCTGGATGCGGTCGAAGGGGATTTTGGCTTGGGTGTGGCTGGGTATGGGTAGACAATTTTTAAATCACCCTGGGTGGGCTGGGTACGGGTAGAAAAAAAAATAAATTAGCGTGGGTGGGATGGGTCTGGGTAAAAATAATAGTGTTTACATGGGTCCGGCTAGATATGATACATCAAGGCTTGAGCTGGGTCGGATATGGGTAGGAAAAAAAATGGTTTTGCAACCTCTGGCTCCGACGCCCACGTCGCTGATGCAAATTCGAGCTTTTTTGGGTTTCACGGCAATCGCACGGCCCCTGACGAACCTCTTGCAAAAGGACCAGCCATTGAGGTGGGACGCTGAGTGCGAGCAGGCCTTTGCCACATTGAAGGAAGCCTTGGCCACGACCCCTATTTTGATCCGGTCTGACCCCGAAAAGCAATTTGTACTCATCACGGACTTGCAACCAGAAGCGATCTCTGCTATTTTGGCGCAAAAGGGGAAAGACGGCCGCGAGCACGTCATCGAGTACGCGTCCAGGACAGTACCAGACGAAAGGAGAAACGATTCGGCACCTCAAGGAGAATGCTACGCGGTGGTGTGGGGGATTCAACACTTCCATCCGTATCTATACGAGCAAAAGTTCCTCCTCATTACGGATCACGAACCCATGTCGGCCCTCAAGAGACTCACTTATTAGACAAGCATGATTGGACGTTGGGCAGTGCGGCTGCAGAAGTACGATTTCGACATCGTCCTCTAAAAGACGGAAAGGCACTTGAACACGGACGGGCTGACCCGACTGCACCGACCGACCAAGGTTACCAAGGGTGAAGAAATTATCCCGTGGAGAGAACCGAAACCAGTCACTGGGCCACAATACGGACAGGTGGCCATCCTTCCGCGTGCTAAGAAGTGACACGTGACAATGGGCGATGGAGGTAATTATGGAGGCCCCCTTTCTCCCCTCTCGCCCTCGTCTCTCCTCTCTTTGCCTGACAAGTTTTGTTACTTCTGCGAAGCAATCTCGCGTGTCTACTCGGTCCCTATGCGTCCTAGCGGGGAAGGGTACGTCGAATGGGTAGATTATCGGCACTGTGTCTCCAGGGCCCATGGTTCCTGCATTCAGTACCGAAACTCAGACAAAGTCTGGTTGTGTCCTTTGTGTCGGTCCGACAAAATTCCTACCGAAGCCCGCTTTTTGGAAGCCACGTCGGAGGGTTTAGAAAAGACTCGTAGGTTTAGAAGGACCGAGGTATGGACAAATGTCGTCTTAATAACCACAGTGGTCGGGACCCCCCTCCAAGACTTCACTAAGGAGGACCGTAGAAGGGCTAATGAGAGGGCACGAGACTATCGATAGAACAATGGACGGTTGGAAAAACGAAAGACCGACGGTAGTGGGATTTGGATGACCGTGCCCCATCCGTTCGTAAGGTATGACTGGGTTAAGTCGACACACAAAGAGACTGCAGCTCACTTTGCCGTGCGGATTACAGAGGCGGCAATTGACAAGAATGAATGGTATTGGTCCAATATTCACGACGATGTTAAATTCATCGTCTGGAATTGTCAGGTCTGCGCCGCTGACAAGGCGCCAATTCAGCCGCCTAGGTCGATAGTGCCCACTGAAGTCCAACAGCCGTGTCAGAGGGTTAGCATGGATACGACGGATATCGTTGTGCCCTCTGGGCCAAATAGCTGTGAATATTCAATCCTCTTGGTGTTCGTTGACCACTTTTCCAAATGGATCGAGCCCTACCCATGTCAGACTAGACAGACGGCGGAAATAGCGCGGTATGTTAACCGTTTCCTCGAGACGAGGAAATACTTACGGACAATGGAGCAGAGTTCCAAGGGGAGGTTATGAGGAATCTAGTCGTACATGGACTGTCTATTCGTAATACTGCCCCCCATATGTCTCAATCGAACGGTCTCGTAGAAAACGCCAACCGGGTCATTAAAACGACACTCCGACAGAATATCGCGGCTAGGGACACGTGGCCGTGGCCGGATATTGTGGATCATATCTTGGCTATACATCGAGGGACCTCACATGAATCTACGGGAATTTCACCATTTCAATTACGAACCAACAGCCTAGCTTGCGTCTCGATACCGAACTTGAATGATGAAACGACACTCGGCCGACGTCCCACAAGAGCAACGGCCAAGGAAAAGGCACAGCGCCATTTGGAGCTTATGGAGCGGACCCTTCCAAGATTGGCCCGAAAAAGGCAGAGAATTACTGAATTGGCCCACTGTCGTCAGGTCCACAATTACGAGGCCCGAAATGGGAATGCAGGTCCCCGACCCCAGTATAAATTAGGGGACTTGGTACAAGTAAGGAAATGTGCTCGTCAAGGGAAACTACAACCATGATTTTTCGGGTGCTTCCGAGTTATCGAGCTCGGACCTAACGGAGTGAACACCGTGCGCCTCGCTCCTGAAGTGACAGGCAGTCGGTCAGCTAGACCCATAGTCCACCACGTGTCCTATCTCCGCCATCTCTCTGCTTCCTCCCCTCCCTCTCCAACTGGATCGCCCTCAGAATCTGAGTCCGAGAAGGAAAGTGACGTTTCCCATTCTCATTCTTCTCTCCATTTATCTTCTCCCTCCTCTTCGCCATGAGTTTTTCCACAGAATAGGTACTCAATGAGCGGATGCTAGCGCTACACGGACACATCTCGATGATCCGACAGGTTCATCATCCGCGTATCAGCCCGGACGTCATCCGATTTGCTCAGTTTTTCAGCACGGCAAGCGTGCATGCAGCAACAGAGTTTCGATTCGTAATACCCAACAGCAAGGCGCAAGTGTTGGTCGAAGCATCGGCCTTTCTGCGGCTCTCGACGCAAGGGACCAGCCACATCTCGACAATTGTCTCCTTTAGCGGGGACATCACTGTGGTGGATCCAAGGGCGCATCCGAGCATCCTCGTCTCGCTGCGAGATTGGGGGGAAGAGTTGGCGAGCTCTTGGAGTCAGCTGCTTGCGGGGCAGGGGAAAAACGTCGTCAATACCAACAATATTGACTTGGACGGCATCCGTGCTCTCCGACAGAATCCCACAGTACCCCTCCCTGCACTCACTGCTTTCTCGCGTCCTCAATGAACCGTCACAAGTTCTCCACCTTCAGCCTCTCTTCTGTCTTCCCTGTCTTCTGGCAGTCGGCGCTCCAGCCTCGTCTCTCTTTCTGTGTGCGGCCGCTGACGGTTCCTCTCATTAAGCCCGAACAGTGGCAAGGGTGGTGACAAACTTATGCGACTTTGTCTCTGTGTTTCGTCAAAATCAGACTGGAGTGGACCAGAGACAGCGAGCACCCCCCCCATGAACGAAGACGTAGAGTTAGTTATCATTCAAGCTTGGAGAACGGGGGTGGAAGGAGATTTGTTGGGATTCGTCTTCGGATCGGTGGAAGCGGGACATCGACAGCCGATCGTGGGGGAACTTCTAATCCTCCTCACGCAGATTCTGGACGATCTACCAATCGACGTCATCTCGCACTGCGACGAGAGTCCGGCGCCGCATATTCTTCCGTGCAGCCTGACGCCGTATCTTCAGTGGTCGACATGTTTGGAGGCTGATTGGGACAACCGTAGTTACCCGTCACACGGTAACTACCTAAACCCCGCAGAGATAATCGATTTTCTCTTCTTGGATCGAGGTGAGCCGACGTCAGAAGAAGAAGAAAAAGACGAGGAAGAGGGAGACAAATCCGAAGATACCTCCGAGGAGGACGAGTATTATAGCGAGCATAGTGAGCACGAATCGGGGGTGATAAGCAAAAAAGAAGAAGAGGAAGAGGAAGCAAGCGAGGAGGAAGAGGCAGAACAGGCGGGGACACAGGGAGAGGACCCGACGGAAGCAGAACGGCGGAGTGCAGAAATAGCGGAAGGAAAGTAACCACTAAAACAATCGGCGGGAACTGAATTGCCAGTTCCAGACGATCCGACCCGAGACCCGGAGCTGCCGACAGAGGACGATGAGCGCTGCGCTACAGAGACTTCGAGCGCGCCGACGCGGAGGCAACGGAGCCGCTACCCCTCCCTTTCCCCCCGTCCCTCAGTTCGAGCATGTGCCAATGCGGGGCATCGAGCTACGTCCCCGGTTATTATCCCGTCGTCCCCTTGATTACCTTACACTCAGGCAAACTGATACCCCGCTCGCATTTCCCCAAAATCCCTTCCCCTCTTCCCTCTTCTACCAATTCTACACTACCCGCCTCGCCGCTATCGTGTACCCACATCCCACTACTCAGTGTGTCTTCCCCTCCTTTTGCCTTCACATCCTTCTTTTCAGCGCCACGTGGCGGGATAACAATGTAATCGAAGTCTACTGCATTATCACAGGAACTATTCTTATCTGCGCAGATCACGAGCAATTCTGCGCGGTCTTACTTCGCACATTTTCCAATCTCTATCCCGACTACCTTGCTTCTCTTCCCTATGGCAGCCATCGTTTCCCGCGCATACACCGCACCGTCAAGTACCTTGAACTTCGCGGAACGGTAGCAGGAATGGCGAGCTTCTTGCCCACACTCCCGAGAGAACATCACCCACCCCCCGCCTCCATATTCCAACTCCCTTACCCCCCTCCCTCGGGACACTAAAGATGGGTGCAAGGATCATGACGTGTCAGCAGGATGACTTTCACACTCTTACCCTACGGTAATGACACGTGCACCTAGAAGAGATACGGGTGCAAGCAGGAGCTTGCAGAAGATTGGAACCCCCTGGGCGTCACATATGTGACGAACTATTTTCTGTAATCGCGCGACTTTATGCGCGAAGCTGCTTGGGGAAATACGACGGGTCGGATGGGAGAACTGTGGGAAGATGGGTCGGGCGGGCTAGTTGCATGGATACCCTCGTTTCTTTTTGGTTTTTTGTTGAAAGTTGTCGGATCGGTGTCGGAAAATCCCGTGCCAACAGTTGGGTAGTCGCGCCTCAACGAGCGCGAGAAATAACTGTACCATAGTTTCTTTCTTGTTCTGCTATGAGCACTGGGAATTTTGGCGCGATCATCACGCAGGAATATCGTTTTTGAATTCTCTACTGATGTCGAGCCCCCACGGGCTCACGAAATTGTTTTCTCTTCTGCTCTTTCGGAATTTTCTTTTGCAATTAGGACTTAGGTTAGGAATTTAGGTACTCTAAATTTTCTTTGCACCGCGCTTGCGTGCATCTTGCCGCGCTGGGAACTGGGCTCTGACTGGATCACGCCCTTAATCTTGTGTAATTGTCGTTTTTGGCGGGGGCGATTGCAACTGTATCTTTCTTCTTTCTTTGTTTCCCTCGTGTTTGCCTGCCTTCTCCTTCTTCCTCGTCTTACATACTGTTCTAATTGGCCGGAGCGCCTGCATGACCGGATCGATGCATGGAGTGTGACTACGACCCTCACGTCGCGGCCTGGCCATGCAGACGTAGGCACTTCCTCTTCTCCTCTTGTCCACCTGGGCTTAATACCGTACCTTTCCCGCAGGCATGCATGCTATAAATTTGGCAAGCGCAATTAGTTTGCCCTCTAAGAATTTCGAGGTTAGCGCGATCAGTGAGGGTCCGCTAACGAGCAAGTTTGGAAGGTAAGTGAGTGCGAGAGTTGGGCGATTCGACGAGCTGGTGTCGGGTATGCGGGGTTGACGTGTGGGGCCGCGACGGACTGTGGCGCACGGGCGAACCTGGCTTGCATGCTCGAACCAAGCGGGGTGACAACTTTGTGTTGATGCGAGGCGACGGACTGCCCGCAGCGGGAGCGTGGGGTAGAGAAGGTGAAACTCCCTGTACTAATTGGTTGCTCAATTTCCGTTGATAGCCTGTGTATCTGCTCCCACTTCTTTGCTGTGGTGAGGTCGCCTGATGCTGAGGTGTCTTTTACCTTCCCGACAGATCTTCGGCGCTCGAAGATGTGTCGGATGAGTCATACTCATCACTCCCGCTTGATCTTGTACTAAGGCTCTCGTAATCATCCTCACTTGTGTTGCCGCCAGTTGTATTGGACACTCTGATGTTATCTTGATCTGGCATGATCTGTGTTTCAAGATCAGAATCCCGGTTGAAGTCCCGCCCCTTGTAGGTGATCAATCCAGGAACTTGCCTCAATGCCGAGATCGTTTGCGGCTTGTCCTTGTACCTGATGTCATGTATCTTGCATAAGACCTTCAGGTCCGTGTAGTGAAGGCGAAGGAGCTGCATGTCCGTCATCGGTTCGACCCCGAAATTGATGCTCCGTTTTGCCTTCGACTTCGCTGCCGACACATTGCGATTAATCTTCGTTCGTCCTCTCTGGGGTGTGGAGGGATTACTCGTCCCAATCTGCTTTTGTTCGGTGCACTTCTGCTTGGCATGCTTCGGCTCGGAATGTTGTGGCTACCATGTACTGAAGTTAGTAGTCCACCCATTGTCCCCACATATCCGTTCGGATGAACCGAAGACGACACGATCAAAGTGCAGGTACGAGTCGGTTCATTGATCTTCTGCAACGCGTCCTTCACAACCGCCAGATCAAACTTTAGTAGCTTCAGGTTGTTGACCTCCTTCCGCACTTCCGATACCATCCTTTCTGCTTTATCTTCCGCCTCTGCATTCTTCTGACCGGTTGCGCTTGGACCAGCTTGATTCTGTCCCCCTTGGTTCATCTYTGTCGGCTTCAKTGCTTCATCAATGATGGACTTGAGCGCGTYCGGAGTTAGCTCWGGCTTCTTTGCGGTATCTTCCTTGTTCGGAGGAGCTGGTTGCTTTTCACTTGTCTTTCGTRTGAGTTGCTCCAGTGTCTTGAGAACTTTGTCCATCTYCCGGCGGACCTTAAAAATTTCTTCCTTTAGATCCGCCGTAAACCACGCTCGATTTCTTGGTGGGGGGAAATCATTCCATCTTTGCTCCCACAATGGTCTCGAGAACCACCTTGGAGATTCTGACTCCGCCCTTCTTCTCCGTGACGATGGTGATCTTGACTTATRTCTTCTATCCCTYGGAGTTTTCGATCTCCCCCTTCTTGAGCGCTTCCTCCCTTGAGATCTGGAAGATGATGATGAGTGTCTGCGCCGCCTCCTGTCCGACGATGATCGMGAACGYGACATCTTCCTTGAAGCTTGAGAACGTCAGGTAGGTAGTCTTCCTACTTGAAATCGATAAAAAAACCCACAACGCCGTTGATCGTGTTCAGTACACACCAGATAAGTAAAATAGAATCTCCAAAAATCGCTGAGTAATCTCCACGCTATATTAATCTCCAACAAATCGCCACTATGATATCATGAAAGAAAAGGGTTACGAATGATGAGAGAGAGATAAAGACAGTGAATGTAAAATGGAAGAGTGACAGGTCTATAYAGTGCCAATCATCGTGGGTRCCGCCCGCAAGTTCTAAGCACCGTGCATAGAGATAAACACATGCAAATGTAGCGGAACATTCGAGGTTTTACTTTCACGGCATACACATGCAAATGTAGACAGAACGTGCGAGGTTTTACTTTCACAGCATACACGTAATGTCCATGRCATGCGACACTGGTCACGATTACCCTTCTACCTCACTKCTSAAGTAATCATTTCAGCCACTATCCTCAGTATTTATACCCTTCATTCTCAGTCCTTCTCCGCCACTTTCCCTATCCTTGCAGTGTACTCATCATCTATCCTCAGGATCTCCCGCAGTCGCTCTCTGTGTTGTCCTTGCCGTCGTCGATTTCCAACATGCCTTCAATCTGGAGCTGCGTCCATCATATCTAATGATTCTGTGTGTGCTACTCACGTACTCTCCTCTCTGTCGGAGTTCCGTCTTACTGTGGTACTTACCTATAACTCCGCTGTTTTTTTATACTGACTCGAATCTGGCCTTGTTTGTTGTTCTGTTCTTGTTTACTTTCATGGCCGTGGATTTTCCTTCATTTCCAGGTGAATATTTTTTCTTTCTCGGTTCGTTTCCACTGCTTTAGGTATTTCATCTTCTATCTGTTTCGTATGTTTGGAAATGTGAGCGACACAGTTACGTCGTTATACCTGCAGAAATTTCGTGATATTCCGGAGTACTTAGTCGTGTACGTTTATTTTTCGTCCCTGAAAATCTATTTTCATTGTGCAATATTATATTTTTGATTTTTGATTTTTGATTTTTGATTTTTCGATTTATGATTTTAGTTTTATATTCCGAGTCGTGTGAATTTCTTGACGTATTTTATTCCGTACTTTTAGTTTTATATCCGTCGATTTGGTGCTTCTTGCTTTTCCAGGTACTCCTGTAATTTATTTCGGACGTCCGCGTCCCTGCAGTTTCGGATGAATGCAAGTATCGCGGTGCGGGTTAGCCTCCATGGGTAATCCATGAGTCGGAGTTCCCGTCCGAACATGTCAATCACGGGCGGTATATCCGCCATCTCGTATGTGTTAGCTACCATTCGATGAAAAGTTCCGATAATCGTCAAGGTCTTTGTTCTCTCAGAACCCGCACCTATGAAGTGAAGCAACATCCAGAGAGAGAGAGAGAGAGAGAGAGAGAGAGAGAGAGAGAGAGAGAGAGAGAGAGAGAGAGAGAGAGAGAGAGAGAGAG